ATTTTAAAGTTTGAAATAGACAATGTTCTAAATCAACCCAGTCAGAGACCCCCAATTACGTTTTTTAGAAATGTCCAAGCATGGACTGATATTTTGTCCGAGTAAATCAGAGATCGCAAAAGACGCTGAAGCGTATTTAGCCAAACATAGACTAAGAATCAATTGTGCTTCTGGTTTTGGAGGAAGTTACATGGACATCCAACGTGCCAAAAATTAGCCCAACTTGGACAGTGGACACTCGTCTTGGAGTTAGAATGTAACCGTTTGACCTGTACAAACAGCGTTGCGGAAGGCAGGAGCGCATCGAATCGACAGCTGGAGTACCTCTCGCTTAGGTATCACTTGAAGTGCTGCATTTCTCGAGCCGCAACCAGCTATATCATCCGTGGGAGGACAAATATTCTGCACGTGAACTGACAGTTTCCCGAGAATTAAACACGTAATATTTATGTTTTTCTGGCCTTGGAAGGAATTACGTGCTTTCGTCGGTCAACATGGAAGGTGGCCAAAGACAGCTTTAGACAGTTAAAGAACGAACATATTGGATTAGTTAGGGCATCTCGAAAACTACGCGTCCATTAAAAAATTGGACCGGCCCGCAGTAGTTTGGAGTGAATACTAGCTCCAACGAAAGTGGCTAAGTTACCGTATCTCCGTCTTGGACTTGGACTTCGGCGGGCTGCAGTCGAAAGGTGCAATCCAGGCTTGGCGCTTTGCCCAGACCGCAATGGGACAATTCGTCGCCTCTGCTACTAATATACCAGTTTGCTGTACATATGAGTGAATAGAAGCTGGCACTTGCAAATTACCTACATTAAATCGCGGATTGGCAAGTGCTCAAGAACGGCTAGGGACCTTTTTGCCATTGCGAGGCTTGTCAAACAAGTCTTGCATTGTTTGCGCCGCCCGTTCGAGCTTCGACGCCGTCGCAAAGTATCGCTCTCGAGGGCGTTCGGCGCGAGCGAGCAACTTGTCTGGGCGGTGATGATTGACATGCACGAGCTAGTCATGATGTGAGTTGAATTTTTTCAGGTTTACCCACCGTACAGGTCCAATGAGCGACGTGGTCGAACTCCTCCAGTGCTTTCAGGAGCTTGGCTCGTTTTCTTGAAATTGTTCAGGTATGTGGAGACCGTTCTTGCGAGAGGAATTGGTCTTGGTGCAATGTTCGCATCATTGATGGAGTGCAATCGGGAAGTGAGTAGCAAATAGCTTTTTGTTAGAATTGGTGAAGTCGATCTTATTGGCCAGCATGTCCAAATGAGTAGTGGCTATTCCTTTCGCTACCGATTCCTCCACATAAGGTTTTGCAAGCGTATGCATTGTGGTGCCCAGTGGGTACCAATCCAAAATGGTAGACATTGCAAACCCATCAACTCCGACAATATGGATGGAAATTGTATGAACGGTGATAACTAACCTTTCACCGAAGCTGAAATGGAAGCCCAAGTAACCCACATCACAACGTCCGCCCAGCTAGTTGCTTTGAACGCTTTGGCAACTTTATGACTGAGTGGGAAGTCTTCGAGGGTGTTATCGGGCATCTCCTTTGCCCGACATACTTTGTGAACAATGCCCAAGGCGCAGTGCTGGAGCTGGCGCCGGGCTCGGGCGCAGTACAAGTGGTAAGTTGTGCCCCTTGAACCAGACTTGCTGGTATTGTTGCCGAGGACGACAGTGTCTACAACACCAAGGTACTTCATTTTGTCGAATTTGGTTTCGATCACTTACCTTGGTACAATCGTGTGTGATGTGGAATTTGGGATGCGTTATTGGGGGTGCGGAAGGTGCTAGGATGACTGGGGCTGCAGGTGGGGGTGTACCTCTGAGCACTGGCGAGTTGCCATGGCGTGTTATGAGGTAGATCTATTACCCCACGTTGTGACGATTGTCACTCGAGGTACGTACAATCGTCTCCACTGAATCCATTTGTCTGGAACGTCTGCGGGGAAGTTCTTCAGCCAGCCGCGTACATGCAAATACGGCAGGCCCCCTCGGTACAGGTGGGAAGCCCTTCGCTCCAGAAGTTGAGCTTTGAGAGCCCCGGCTAACGACGACCTTGGCCCAACACAAAATCATGACCAAGTCCTCCACGCGCAATCGCATCCTCATGTTGCCTTGGATGCATGTGCGGGTCATGAGGAAGATTGCCAGTGACGTCTGTCAACTACGACAGTCTAAATAGGGATAAAATAGTTATAGAGTGCAGATGATATTTCTTATTCAGTTTTTCTGGATACAAATACGGAGTATTATGCCACCCAAATGGTGACTTCTGACCAACGTCCCCCAAAGTTACTTCACCTTTTAAAAGAATTTCAAATATTTTGCAAAATTTAATTCTTGCATACTGATATTGAGTAGAGTTGCCAAAAACATAACACTATATTTTTTCTATTTCCCTTTTCCGACGCCAACTTCCTGCACCCAATTTCACCTCCGAGGTTTGAACGCAATTGGTGCACACGTGAAGCATTTGACCCTGACGCTCGCTCTCTCGTAAGGTTACACTGAGCAGAATGCAGTATGTACCAGTGCATTGGTGCTGGCCATAAATATCTTCTGCGAATTTTGAAGAAAGCTACACCTTTCGCATTTGTGACGCAGTCGCATCACTTTCGAGCAGCGTAAGCGAGAGCTGCACGTACTATTCGTCACGTATTCTGTGGTGCAGAAGCTGGTGGCTTTTGGATTGTGGGTATACAGAGGTTTGACCCAATGCAACGAGCTTCAAATGACCGAGCATCGCAGTTTGTGATGTCAAGCCCACAACTTGCGCAGAACGACTAGAGTTCCATCAAGCTGCGAGGGCAACCTTTGTCGTGAAGTCCATAGACAGCTTGTCAAACGATGGACTTCTACCAACGGCAGTTTCGAGCCTACTAGCGAGGACGCCACGACGGCAGCGGCTGCGTTGACGAATCCAGTGACCTAGTTGACCATGAACTGGAATTAAACGACTTAGTCTAAGGTGAAAACGAACTTTACGACGCTACTATCCTTGGACCTAAGCTGCGCCTCACGCTATGCAAACCTTGTCTTGGTAATGACCTTGCTTGTTGTATTGTGTCCTGGGAAACTGTATTTCTTGCCCACTCCCCGTTAAACATGTCCGATCTCGCTTTCGACAAGCACAGTGCGCATGTATTCGCCGTGGACGTGCTGTTCAGCTACCAAAAAGCCCATCTACACTATTTCTTTGTATGCCCCTCAAACAATGAACAACCTTACGAGGTAATACATGGATGAGACCATACATGCGTCGTCTCGCGGGTATCACGACTTCGTCTTTCAGTATGGACATGACACCGAGTGCTTCTATGTGGAGGCACTCAAGATCCTTGTCGTCAACCTCCCGCCACCACCGCGTGGAGTGGATTCTACCTCCGTTGTGGACATTCCTCCTGGAGTGCAATTCGGAACAACATTGGACAGACAAAGGAGCGCTTTCTACGTCTCCATGGTAAGCTCTAGTGAGCCTTTCGATCGTGCTCTGCTTCGATTGCAATGTGAAAACCATTGAGTGTGCCTAAGTTGCGTGAACACTAGTGAAAACACACACACACGACTTCGTGGTCTTCTAATCAAGCCAAAGTATGTTGGACGTTGCATTCGACGCCGATGGCTTTTAGAAGTGTTCAGCAACCCTCCCTTAACCCCTTGGTCGGCCCCAGCCGAGTCATTTTCGGTGGATCTCGACGCGCAACGTGAAATTCGATCCAGACGTGGCTTTGACGAGTTGAGATCATTCGACCCGGCAGAGTTCAAAGCAGTTGGTTCTACCCCAAGGCGAATGCGTTGGTGTGTTTGGCGAGGTCCCTGCAGACTTTGGTCATGATAACGTTTATGGCGTGTTTTGTGCGAAACAAATATCCGTGCCATCTTATATGTGCTCATGCTCAAGCACGGCTTACCTTAGAATACTCTCTTTCGACAGCATGTTTCATGGATCGGGAAAGAAGCGTTCTTTGACAGGTTTGGTGAACATCATATCCTGAAACCTCATTCAGGGTGAGGTGACGTGGTGTCGGGCCAACCAAGAACAAAATGCTGACCAACAGACATATAATCTTATTCGTGCTGAACAGATATCAACAGTTTAAACCGTAGCAACCGCACATAACCGAAAAGCATGGAGTTACATCTCATGGCTACCTCGGCGTATAGAAAGAGATATGAAATGATGACCTCAATGGAATTTATCGCAGCCATAGACACATCAACTGCCGAAGGATACGTCCCCGAAATCCCCCCCTGCGAACTGCACGCTCTTATTCCCCACACGCAATTAGCGGCCATCTCGACTGCTAATGCGTTTTCATGACGAAGTTAACGTGCAACAACACCAACGTGTAACTTTACGACCACGGCGCGCTGCGCTGGGGGTGGACGTGTGTATGTCTTGTTTCTAATGCAATTGACAACTCACTCTAATTGATTAGAACAACACAAAATGTTGTACCCACATTACGAGACGACATGATCTGTGGATTTCCTCACAAGCTTAGCCACTGTCACTTTTCATTTCACGTAACCTAAGATGATGAACCCTTTATATTCCTTGCACGTGTATTGAAACTGGGCTTGCGTAGAGAACACATTGCATTGTTCATGGAGTGGCGAATTTGACGAGGTGACACGAGGGCCAAACTGTTGTTTTTGTACTCACGAGCGGAATTAACTCGGATATACTTAGCGGCTGGTCACTATAACGTTGTAGATAAGGGATATGCCACCAATATGCACAAAAATGAAAATAGAAAAGGTACTCTTATGAAAGACGTGCTGCCTGGGTGATCATCCCAAAGGGAGTTCCTTCAAATTCACTTCTGTGAAAGTACTTGTACTGCCTTTTCGATGAAACGAGTGTGCCCTGGGTGGATACTGTCCAGATCAGTCGCATTTCGGGCAGTAGTTTTGACCACAAAACGTTCTATGGCTTTGTGTGTGATATCGGCTCATCCTCCTTCAAATTTAATGATCCTGCGAGTTTTTTCCCGTTTCGCTGTATTCGCGCAGTCGCCAGCGTCCAGGTGACTGAAGCCAAGGTTGAGCTAATGGGACATGAAAAATATGAAATGAAAAGTTTATATGTCCCCGCAGCAACTTTTCGATTCCCTTGAAACGGTACACACGAAAACGACAGGACAAACTAGAAATTTTGGTTAAATAACAAACGAAACGACAGGACAATGGAGACATTTTCTTAAAAAACACACACACACGAAACCAACCACAGGCCAATCAAGAAAATTTCTTACATATCACAGGAAACGACAAGACGGTCGAGAAAATTTCTCAACTGTGAATAACACCAAT